TAAAATTTGGACGTTCTCCCAATCGAAGTCATATGAAAATTCAATACGATGTTCAATAATTACAGATTGAGTGTCAATGTTCCAATTTATATGTCTATGATGTTCAAATATTCTGCTGGAAAGTTTTCTGCATATTTGTCCCATATATGATGTATCTCAATCTTTACAAATCTTATAGCTCACATTTTTATTACCAAATTTTGGAAATTTTGGAATACTTTTGTGAATCTATTTAATTTGTTATCGCTGGAAAACGCTAATTGTATGTTGGTGTCTTTACAAATCGACGAAAATTTCACTGACGTAGAATCAATATGTGATAACAAAAACCAAGATACACGATCACTAATCATATCTTCATTTGGGACATTATTACTAAAAAAATTTTTGTTAAACCAATTTTAGACGACTATTGATCATGTCAAAAACAAATTTTGTCGGATAGTCATTATTTAGTAATGTACAAATAATGAACTTAATATTATTATAATGAAATTTTGGATCTAAGAGTAATATAGTTTTGTCCAACATACCTATTATGATATCTTGTTTGTGAGAAATAGGAGGTAAATAGTGAGGTAAATAGTTCAGTTATCGTTCTGAGAATGTTGGTTTGTGGTACCAATCTGAACAGTTATTGTTATTAATACATTGTTATATCTAAGAAATTAATACTATTGCCTCCTATTTCCCAGGTGAATTGCAATCTCGGATGAAACGAATTAAAAGTTGTCAAAATAAAATCAATCATATCAAATGGGACTGCCATCACGATATCATCAACATATCTGAAGTAAAAGGACAATTGAAAGCCTAACATTGCTATTGCTTTAGTCTCTAAGTCTTACATGACTAAATCTGCCATAATAGGCGATAAAGGCGATCCCATTGATGTATCAAAGTTCTGTTTGTATATCTCCCCATTAAAAGTGAAATACGTCGAGTTAAGTATTAATTCTAGTGCTATAAAAAATTCTTTTCAGAATAGTCGTTGATTTCTTTTATATAATTCTACTATTAGTCACACTCTCAATCGCCAAATCTAATGGAATGTTAGTAAACAACGAGATGATCAAGAGAAATTAAAGAATAATTAGTTTCCAACCGCCTAACTTCTCCGCCTCTTAATTTCTGTGCAAGATGAAAACTGTTTTCGATTTTTACTGAAAGGTTTAGGAGATTTTTCAGAAATAATGTCGTGTAAAAATGAAGCCAATGAATGTAAAGGACTGTCAATTGAAGAAATTATGATCCTAAACAATTAGGTTTATGCACTTTTGGAAGCACGAGATAAGTTACCTTCACTACATGATATTTTTTTGTACGTACTATTTGAAATGTAATTTTTATTTTGCCAATGTGATAATAGTTGAACTTTTTTTGTGAGAATATTGATAGGATTTTTTACGACTTTAGTACGTAGATGTTAGAATCATCAAGCATTTCTTTGACTTTCGAAATGTAAATATTTTTATTTAGAGTTACAGTAATATTTCCCTTGTCTGCCTTAGTGAAAATGATGTCTGAATTATTAGTGCAAAATTGTTTTGTGTATCGTACTAGTTGAGTTAATCGTTTACTAATTATGTTATTTTGAACAAAAGATAAATAATTTTTCAATATAGATGTGGTACAATTCCTGATACTTAAAATATGATTAGGTTTAATTTTCTCCTAAATTTTTTTTTTTATAATTTCTAATAAAGTTCTTTTTTTATTAAATGAAGGTAACGCGTTTCCCCTAACAAATATCCCCTAACTTTTTCAGGAATTTTAAAGTCAGAAAATTAATAAATTAATAAATTTATAAACCAACTTTCTTTGATGTTATTTCAATAAATTCAATAGAATCTATTTTAATGTTAAAATGATTGTTGGACAAGAATTATCACCGTAGATAAATAACTGATATTGAGTATGGAAATCCAAACTAGTACTGATACGGCTGATTATTCAATACATGATAATGAATCGGAAATATATCATTATAAATTCTTCTTTTATTTTTTTGCAACATCCATTTTATTTTTTTCGAGAGAATGATTTCCTCTTTCCTCATATGAGATTGAAAGGTATTTTCTTGTTTTGCAAAAAAAGAATTACAAATTGATGTAGGAATATATTGTTGAGAATGTTTCTTCTGAGATTCAAAATTTGTTTATACGAGTTATCATTAGATCTATAAGCATCATTAAGCTCTATTTTTAAAATTCATATATTGATTCCTAAAATAGTTCATTCTTGTTATTGTTCCCTTGTAAATATTATGAAACAAAAAGAATAGGGATGACGGTAGGCAAAATCGGTCGAAATGTGCAACCCGACTCCAAGCCTGATATAGGAATTAAATTCATATATAAGAAAAAAAAATTTTTTAATATTTAACACGCTACTTTTTTTATTATTTATATGTAGAATTAATTTATGATTTTAAATACAATTTATTAATTATATAATGCGTCGCATATTTTATTTTACAATTTTTGAAAACGCATTTATAGTATCGATGGAATTCGAACCTATAGTTCTTCGATTTCTGGAGTAACTTAACACTAACGCTGAGCTATAATCGCATGCTCACTGAAAAAAATATTTATATGATTATACTGAATCTTTTGCGATCTTACTAGTATAATCATATAATATTGCAATCTACATGGAAAATTACAGATTATATTAACTTCACGTGCAATATGTATTTTTGGAATTCCATTGAATATGAAATTTCACAATACAAAAATTCACATACAAAATATAAAGGCGAACAGAAGGCTAAACCTAGTAAAAAGTAGTATTTTCACATATATTTTACCATTAATGTATATTTTTTTAAAAACTCTAGAAAAAAATTCCAGTCATATTTAGATAATTTTCCAGTCATAAACATATATAACTTTCATATAAAATTACATGCATTTTGTTTCAGTATATAAATTCACATGAAATTGAAGCACTCAAGATCCAACTTTGACCAATGTAAGCATTGCTTCTTATTGTATAAAGCATTTGTCGATATTTAAATTTTTTATAAAATATTATAAAATATTTCTAGCCACTAAAATAATGCGATCTAATGAAGTTTTAATAAAAGATCAAAGTAATAATAAAAAGTAATAATAAAAAAAAAAGTAATAATAAAAAGTAACGGCTGAATTCATTACTATAATGATGTGACAACATTATCATTACAGACAGAAAAAAAGTAATGATCATTACCGAAAAAAGATAAAGAAAACGATAACAACATTACAAGTAGGGAGTAGTTTATTTGCACATGCAATTGTTGCAATTGTCCACTGGTAATCACAGCGACTTTTGCATAGAGAGTTTTTTTATTTTTATTTTATTTTATTTTATTTTCTAACGTTGTGACGGGTTGGCTTGTACGCAATTAATATACAATCTTAGGTCAATATTACATGTGTCCGTTTTTTATCGTACATTTTTTAAGCCTGTTGATTAGCTATAGAACAAAAAAGTCCAAAATTCTCTGTCTTGCAACCAATTAAGTAACACGCTTGAAAAATTCGTCGTACAACAAAAAACATACGCATGTAATATTGGCCTTACAAGTAATTTTGCGTTATTTCTTAAAAATACAAAGTATCTCATAACTACTGAATTTCCTCTTAAGGCTATATTCTTGAGATAATTTTGAGAAATGTCGAAGTTACAATAGTTTTTGAATTATAATGGATTAAAGATAATGTATAATTCGCAATTATAGCTTCGATATTTTCGTATTAGGATTTTCATCTTAGAATGTTCAAAAGAATCCAAAAATAATAATAAAGGCTCTAAAAAAAATGATTTTATACTTGTAAGCATTTAAAGTTAGCTTATATAATTCAAAAAGTTATTGTATCTTCGACATTTTCGTATTAGAATTTTCGTTTTAAAATTACCTTAAGAATATGTCCTTAAGAGAAAATTTAGTGATTGTGAGACATTCTGTATATGTTATATGACTCCCGAAACCGGTATACGTGTTTATAATGCATTATATGAAGAAGTTCCATTGTATGTATGTGTGTGCGTGCGCGCGTGTATAATACGAAGCATCAAATATATAAAAGACTCGAGATACTCGCATGTATATTGATCAATTTCGGTTGACTCATAGTTGATTTATCGACCGGTTAATTCTAATTTTACTTTTTTTGAAGCTTTTTAAATCAAGTAATTGAACGCTTTTATGCCTTACGTCATTTTTGCTTTCAACTTCCTCGAACGACCAGGCCATATTTCCACGAAAAGTAAAAAAAAGTATGGACAAAGTTTCTCCACCTACGCGTTTATTCCGGCAATCTCTCGCCATTTAATTACTCGATAGTTGATCTGTTATTTTTTTCTTTTATGTACATATTGTACAAAAGGAACAGTTATAATAGCCGTGTTATAATTTCCTATTTTTAATAAATAACATTTTTCGAAAATTGTAATAATATTTAATATTCCTAAATTGATCCTAAATTGATCTAAATTTATGAATTTTGTTTATTCAATGTTTGTGTTTAAATGATATAAACGCAAAATAATATCAATTGTGCTTATATAAAATTCTCTTATATTATTCAGACACTTGCTCCACAAGTTTAATATTATTCTATGTTCCTTACTTCTTCTATAACGCGTCGCAATTTCTGTAGATCAGTAAAGAGCTGCTGTTTCTCTTCTAATGAAACAGTACAACTTTTTTTCTCATGAAAAGTTGTTCAATGATTTTCATTAAAATTTAAAAATAAATTATATAATAATAAACGTCACGTTTAAAACTATTCTGCTCTTTTAAACGAGATACAGTTTTACCAATTCGTATCATATCATTTTCCATTAAGCGATTAAATGATTTGAGTTCTTCTTTCTTGGATTGTTCGTATCAACTGCGTAGCGTATTGAATCAAACGAAAGCCCTAGTAGCCATAGCTGCATTGGCCACTGTCAGTGCAACAGCAATCCTCTTTATCCCCATGGTCGTCGACGTTATCATCGTCTCGAATTTTCGCCGCGCCATCAACGCCGGCGTCGCGACGCTGAGCGGAGCGTGGCGCCGTCGTTGGACGATTCCTCGAGATTGCGCGTCTCGACACCCGAACGAGCCAGCCAGCCAACCCTGCCAACCAGCCAACTAGCCAACTAGCCAGCTCTTGTACGTGCCGTGCGAGACTTTCGTTACGTCGCCCATCGCGGTGAAATGCGCCGTGATCCTCCGCCGGAGGGAGAAAAAGCGGACACCCTTAGTGTGTGCTACTGTTATTTGTAGGCGTGCATACGCATGCTGTACGTGGATTCGTTGTCAACCAGGTGTCCTTTCGCGCGCCGGCTCGTCGTCGTCGTTGATTCGCGCTCGGTGCGCTCGTGAAGTGATAAAGGTGACGACGACGACGACAACGACAACGACGACAACGATAATAGTGATGATGATAATGATCATGCTGATAATGATGGTATCAGTACCGCTGCTATGTGAAATGAAAGACAGTGCCCGCCCAATCACCGGCTGATCTATTTGTGACTCCCATTATATCCCAGGGGAGATCTCGTGTGTCCTGTTAACTCGACGATAATGACGATGTGATCATTCAAATATCCGTTTCACCAACGTTTATCAACGTCTCAAGCGTGTTTTCGTTTTGATCGTAAATGATGCTACGTAAAACGTAACGTGATCGCGGACATTCTCGGTGATACGAAACGATGATGGTGTGATGACACGGATTTGCTATCACGCATGCCGACGTCATCACACCCACATCTACCTTTCCATTCTGATTTGTGAGCAATCGAGGGATTCATTACGGCATTGATACAACGCTACGACGATCGCGCGCTGCCGTCTGCTAGCTACGAATTTCCTTCGCGTTGGTCCGCGTATAACCAGCGCTCAGGATAACCAACGTTGACCTCATCGCAACGGCGACGATCGATTGCCATTTAAAAGCTTCACGGGCGTTCGTACGCGCCTCGTCGTCGCTACACGCGCTTACGCGGTAAGGCTCCTCTTTTTCAACTTCCGTACTCTTTCTTTTTTCACAAATCATATGTATCATATATTTTATTCGAGGAAAGATAGATAAATTAATTAAAAAGACAAAGATCAATTAATCGTAAAAATTATACGGAAAGTTTTATTTATTGAGAAATATTGCTAAATTTTTATGGAATTTATTTTTATTATTACTGTGAAGTAACTTAATTAAGTAATGAAATTCATCGATACTAAGATTGGAAAATTAATCTTGATATTTTGGTTTAGCAAAAACGTCGATTAATTCTTTATTTTTACTGTTTTAATAGAGATAAATTATAATTCACAAAATCAATCGGTTGATATCGGAGATGAAAAATTAATTTAGTTTAGTTTGGCAAGAAACTTTAATTTTTGGTCAATTGAACTTTAATTTTTGTTGTTTTGATGGAGATGAAATTATTGGTGAATTCGTTTCGAGAACTGAAAAATTAATTTAGCCTAATTGAATGAAAAATATCAATTGAGTCTCTCTTTATACTAAATCGAACAGCCACCATGGCCTATTTATTTCTCTTTCTTTTCTTTCGGTCTGGAATTTCCTTTTTTCTTTCTGTATATGGATAACGATCATTAAAATAATGTCGGCGAGGATGCTTTTATGACGAGCTGATGAGAAATGAAGTTGTTCCCTCGAGGACGACATAATGAGAACGACGAGTGAAAAAGCATCGTGCTGAGTATTGAAATCGGGCAGATCATCCCTTGTGGTCAAAGAAATCTTCAAACTGTATTAAGAGATTTAAACATACATATCTCAGTAATATGACATCAATGAAATTTGGCTGGGAAGAGCAACGAACGTTAGAAACAAGTAAAAAGATTTTGTATCTTGTCTGCGACTTTTTTTTTTAATTTGTTATGTTAAAGACAGAATGGGCAAAAAGGCTTCAAAAGAGAAACGCTATTGTGTTAGCGTTTATCAAATGCAAAATGCATTTCCTTTTCGCTGCAAAATGAAAAGTAGGTTACTCAACCTTTTTTTCGATGTTGATTTTACAGCTGCATTCGCGTGCCTGTCGATCGATAAACCGCAGAGCAGAATGACGGGACAATGAGGTTCGCGTTTTCATTTGAACGCTCGGTGAAGTTTAATTAATTAGAAGTCTTTTCCAGCGTGTCGCGAAGCGCATCGTTTAACTTGTCTTTCACGATTTTATGGCGATATTTATCGTTCGGGCATAACCTGACTTTGGAAATGTATTCGCCAGGAAAGATATACGGTTAGCGTTACGATGTGAGAAGGAATACCTCCCCCCCCCCTCCGCCCCGAGGGTAACTTTTTCGTACAGCTGTTATGTCAAAAAATGTGAGCGCGTCGCCTATGCCACGTGTCGTTAATCATATCCATCAGTCGCTTTGCGAACGTACGCGCGGATCAATAATAAACGTGCAGACAATCAACTAGTGGCTGAATTATTGCAAGGCAAAAGGTAAATATGTGGCTCATCGAAAATTCTATTATATTCGCAGCATAGCATTCGATATGATCGAAAATTGCATATCTGGGCGTAAAGTCACGGAAGTAGCGGGAAAACAAATTGTCAATTTTGTGACCATATAAGAAAAAGCCAATTAAAGTCCATTTGTATTGAAAATTTGAGAAAATGAACTTCCATTTATCCTAATTCTATAAATTTCAGCTACATTGAATCAAATAAGTGCATTTGCAAATAATTTATGAACTTGTATTCGCTATCAAAGTTAAAAAAAATATGAATTTATTATTTCATAATAATTGAGAAATTTAATTGTCCGATCTTTTCATACATAGCTTTACTGTAAATGGATCAACGGTTGGTGAATCTTAGTTATGGCTAGTTGATTTATCGCGCTGATACTTTCAGACATAATAACACAAATTACTTTAATCCCCTATTGCTTAATCGCTTAGCTTGCAGTCGGTGGAAGTCTGAATAATGTAATGGATAGAAATCTGTATCTTGTAATCCCTATTACAAGAAGAAGTGTCACTTTATCAGCTATAATATCTATTGACATTCGTTGATAACTTTAAAATAAATTTCCGCGCAGAAATAATCTGACAGAATATCTAATCAACATTGATGACAACGTCAGAAATTATAAATTTTTGGCTAAACTTCAAAAATATAAATGATTCATCAAGCTTGTTTTTCGTCAATGTTTAAATTAGTTCTGTCGGTAACGTTTACTTAATTTGAACTTTGGTCGCTAAGAATTTTTAAGTAAAAAATTAATAAAGTATCGTAAACCTTTATCGATAGATCGTCTCTAGATCGTCTCTTCTTTTAAAGAATCTTCAATTAAAATGCTCGAAAAGACATCTGGCGATAGTAATAGATATTCTATATAGGGATGCTGATTTACGCAAGACGATGATACTGCTTGGTGGCCTCGAAAATTTTAAACTAGAGCAATTTAATAATTCAGCACTTATAGGGAATGAGCAATTCAGTTATTATTAATATCTTGTGGTTGACTTATGTATATGTACATTGACTAAATACAATGACTAAATACTCAATATTGCAGATATCTACATTGTGTCATTAATTAGTGATAATTAATTGGTGATAAGAAACTGTACAAATTCTTGATTACGTACCTGACTCCGCGTACACCGATTCCGTATTAATCTTTTATAACTTTCTTATAGAGTATTTATTCAGAACAAACAATTATGAGATCAAAAGATCTATCTTGAATTTTTTTTAATAAAATGTTCTTAAAGTTACCACTGGCTCTTTTTAAAACATAAGAACGAAACTCCATCAGCTTAATAATAAACATCATATATCAATATTCAAGATTACAAAATCGTGACACACCGAGATCATACTATTATTTATGTTATTGTTTATATTATCATTTTTTTTTTATTTGTCGATGGAATTAGGCACAAATTAAAATAATTCGAGAGCAGCCAGCCAACGATAATATCGATTAACCATCATAACTCCAGAGTAAAATACATGTTAATGTAAAAAAAAATCCTTTTTACACGTTTCTTACGAAATAATTAAAAAATTTTTTTCGCCTTTTAATCGAAAGATACTTCATTTTAGAATGTCAGATTACTGTCTTGTGATATCCTGTAAGAAATATTTTTTATTTATTTTTGGCTTTAGATTATATTTGCTAAAGTAAATTTCATTAAAGGTCTACGTTACGCTCTGATTATTTTCTAATGAATGTAAAAATAAAATATATTTTATGTATATATTTTACAATATACATATATATAAAGTAATCTTGCATAAAAACTAAATGTTTAATGTAGATAGGTATATTAAGGTTTGATATTTCATTTTTTAATTAACTTGTGATAACCTGATGATAATGTAAACATTATATTTTTCTAGCTATGACTAAACTAAAAGTTTTGAGTAACTTTTAAAATTATCACTATGAAACTATCACTTTAGTGTTTGATGACAGCTAGAAAAAAATGTCATAATGTAATTAAAAAATTAAAAATTATCTTCGTGATTTAATTTATTATTTTGAAAAATAAATTATTGCACTGAAAAAAATTTATTAAATCTTAATACATATTTCTTTGAATAGTACAATTGTGACTAAACATTTATTTACAGTGAATAAATATTTTTAAAAAATGACAAATCAAATTAATGCACTCAGAGAAAAAAGTCATATTAGTAATTACTATAAATTTAGTAAATAGCGCCTCAATTGTATATACTATATTATAAAATTCTAATAAGAATACTCTAAATTAAGTGAAAAGTGGAAATATAGTAACATTAACCGTATAGTAATATTAATCAATTTCAAATTATTAATACTATATTTTCTTAGTTCACTTAATTTACTTATTGTTCTTATTAAAACTATATAATACACAGTTACAAATGTATGCATTTTTCATTTATTTTTGTCTTCCAAATTCTAATCCAATGCTGCGTTTTTTACAGTAAACTGACAAGGTAAGATACCCAGATGTCCAATTATAATAGTTTTGAAACAGTTAGAAGTTATATATTCTACCTCCTGTTAACTGTTAAAATGAATACCATTCGCTCGAAAAATTTGATGCGTTAGTGAAATGGATTCAAAATCCGTTATAAACGATTCTGAAAATGAGTTTAAATGACATTTTTTCATAATTTTTTTTTTCAAGTTTTTCTATATACGAGAGCAAGTCAATAAGTTTTTAGAAAAACATAGTAAAACACATTTTTTTTTATTGATTCATTTCTCAACTCTAGTCTCCTTTCAGCTCGATACACTTAAACTCTAACGATTCTCCAACTTTTTCAAGTCGTCCGAATAATGTGATTTGTTCAACCCTTCAAAGTAAGTCTCTGTTTCGGCGATGAGCTGCTCTCTGGTAGTGAAGCTCTTTCCTCCGAACCATTTCTCAGGTTTGGAAACAGGAAATAGTCGCAGGGGGCTAAATCTGGAATATGCTGGATGGGGAAGCAATTCGTAGCGGAATTCATTGAATTTGGCCATCGGTGCCGGGCACGTGCGAATCCGTGCATTGTCTTGATGAAAGAGCACTTTCTTCTTCGCCAAATGGGAACGTTTTTTTCTTTAAAATGTTGTTGAAGCGATCCAATAAGGCTGCGTAGTAATCGCCATTGATCGTTTGCTTCGACGGAAGGTAATCGATATGAATTATACCGCGTGCATCCAAAAAAACTGTGGCTATTGCCTTTCACGATCTTCGCCTTCTTCGGAGCTGGTTCATTCGGTGAAGTCCATTGTTTTGACTGTTCCTTCGTCTCGGATGTGAAGTAATGGATCATGTTTCGTCCACAGTAATGAATCGACACAGAAATTCATCTGGATTACGTTGAAACATCTCCAAACCTTGTTTTCAAATCGTCACACGGTCGCGCTTATATCCACAGAGCAAACGCGGCACTCGATAGCTTTTTCATACCCAATTGTTCATGCAAAATTGAAATCACTGTGCCATGTAATATGCCTGTGGCCTCAACAAGCTCGCGCACT